AAAAGATCTGAAAAATTGTTGGTCTCTTGCCTCTATTTTTATAAAGATAGCAAGATGAGGCTTTTGTCTAGTGTTGTCTTTGGATGTTTTGTGAATGTCAAAAATGAGGTTGATTATTTCTTGTGGTTTGCTTCTTACTGATGATAGTTTGGAGGTCCACTGGACTATTAGATGGTGATCACATATGCCTTCTAATGGTAAGGAGCTTGTGAGTCTGTCTCATTGTCGCTATCATTATTGCAGTCAAGAGGATTGTATCTCTCAGTATTTGATGACTTTACTGTCAGGTTGTCCTCATACTCATTGAGTCTTGCACTGGCTTGTTCTTCTCTAGTTTTAAAAATAGCCCTTCTGTCAAGTCTAGGATCTTATTTATTAGAGTTGTGGATATCTAGAGAGTTGGTAGAGCTGTGAGCATGTGGGTTTTGTAAAGTGGAGGATGAGGACCTTATGGAAGAGAGAAAAGACTCATCTAGGTTTTGTGAGTTAAGAATATTTGAGGAGTTGATTGGAATGGATAGAAGATTATTTTTGGGAGGAGACTCCCATATCTAGATTGCTAGGAATGGGAAAATCCAAGTCAATTGACATTGATGAGTCATCGTTGTTAATTAAATTTGGATGTGTTAGGTTCTGATTGGAGGAGAGTAGTGGTGTGTCTAATTCGGTGTGATGATCAGTTGGTTCTGTTACTTGTGATTGGTTAGGTGAAGGGTTGGAAGTTGTGATTGGATTATTGGATGAAGAGGTAGATGGAGTTTCTGAATATTCAGCTGGGCTAATTTGATAATTTGCGCTTAGGGAAAATACTCTTTTCTTTCCACTTGTCTTTCTATCAACTTTGATCATATTCCAGGAAACATGCTTGGAATAATTCCATCCTTTGCTAGAAACCTGATTGAAAATTCCTTCTCTAAGAGCTTCGTTGTTTGAGAAGATAGTTTGAAGAGAGTTTTGGTAATTTAGAAATTCATCTAACTGATCACACAGTTTGTCTTTGAGAAAGGAAGATTGAATAAGTAGACTGTTTTGATCTTTGATTGAAAATTCCAGTTGTATAATAGAGAGATTTGGTGAGCTTGTGTGGATGATGTTTTGAGTGGGAATGAGCCATTTTGAAGGGTGATTGGACAGAAATGAGGTAGTAATAGATGTGGAAGGTTCTGTGATGATGATTTCTTTGTTTTGGTTCAAATAAATGACTGCAAATTGATGTTTCTTCCTTTTAATGAGGATGATATCTAGCAAGAGAAGTTCGACAGTTTGATGTTGTGGCAAGGGAGATGTAATAGGATGAGAAGTTCTGATGAGAACTATTTGAGTGTTGTGACTAGACATGTTAGATGATGATTGGTGGGTGTAGAACTATTGAAGATTGTATGCGTGATGTGAATTTTGTGTGATGTGGCTTATTATTTGCTAATATGAGTGATTGTTAGCATGTGGTGTTAGGTGATATGTGATAGTGGTTGGTGTGTAATGTAATTGTTGACACATTTTGTTTACTTATAATTGGTAGCTTGTTTTTAACTTGGGAAGTCTTATGGTATGTGGACGTGTTATTGCCTATTGACGTGTAGTTTCTTGTTGACATGTTATTGTTTGTTGACACATTGTCACTTGTTGATGTGTTGTTACTTGCTGACGTGTTATGGTTGTTTTGATGTTTGTTTGAATGGATGATTTTGCGTAACTTGGATTTAGAGGGGGTAAACTGATTTTGGTTTTTAAGATTTTGATATGTGACATCCTTCTAGCTCAAGGGAGGTGGCAAGGTTGTTTGATTTATTGAATGAAATCTGGCCTTTTTTGAGTTACTACAGTGTCTAGGGAGGTGTTTAACCTGCACACGACTGGCTGTAGTGGTGGTAGTGGATGTTGGCTTCCTGAGACCTTACTGTGAATCAGGAGATGTGTTTTCTTATTCCCCCACTTGAGGAATAAGTTTGTTTGAAGGTCTTCTATTGAAAAATATGGATATTTGGGGTGTGGAGTAGAAGATATTAGTTATTTGTTCTCAATAATTACCTGATGTTATTTTCTTGTGTTTCTTTGAATAATTATGTGAATAAAGTTTTTGATTTTTTGGTTTTTTGAAAGTTTTCTAAAAAGGAAATTAGACGTGAAGTGGGAAAGAGTTTTCTAGCATTTCTGTTTTATATGTATCTTTTTTGCAAATATAGTAAGAAATTGTTGGCTAATATTGTTTATTTCTTGTTTGAAATCCTCAATATTTCTATATTTTGTATTAAGTTATAAATAAGAATCCTAATAATTTTTTTTGATTCTTTTTACTGTATTCAATTTTAGGTTCATATTAAACTAGATGTTAACTCGTTGCAAAGCAACAGAATTTATATATAAACTATAGAAATATTATCATGACTGTTATAATAATATAAACTAATTACAACTGTATTAGAGGATTATCATTTCTGTGTAACAATAATTATTTAAAAACTTCATAATACACAATATTTTTTGTCTGTCGACCTTGGTTTCTATTTATGTTATTTGATATAAGAATTTTGATGCATCGGTAAGAAGTGATTCTCGATAGAGCGACGTACAGCTGACCATGCGAAAAAACTGGCTGTGAAATATAAAGACCCACCTGATTTAATGTCTGGCCCTGCACTTTATTAATAGTCATAGAAAATGCAACTAATATGGGAAATTGGCGTCACATTAAAGTAAAAGGCAAACTGGTATCAGAAGGTGTTAATGTAATTCTAGGTATGAAAATGCATTGTCCAATGCATGAACCTGTCATAATTTCCGCATCGATTACCTTACTAAGAAGTCTACAACAAATTAATCGGGTCCCATCACAAAGTCCTTTTGATGGGTCTAAGTTTTGTAAAAGCATAATAGGTATTCCTACTTTTTAACTTTAATTTGCCAGAAGGAAGACCACAAATCTTTAGAGATCTTTAATATTCAGGGGAATACAATTGGGGCTGTTCCACATTACCGTCCTCTAAACCTACAGAGTCTGCACTGTAATACGTGTAAACTTCGCCTGGAAGCTGGTTCATAATCAGGTCAGAGATTTTTTCAACTTCATTGTTCTTTGGAGTTAAAATGGCTCTGCCAACCATGTAGTTCATATTGCCAGAATTTTCAACTAAGTTGGATAAACAAAATCGATAAGATCTGACAATTGCCCTCTAAGTATTACTATGTCTGAAGGAAGTTCTATCTTGTTTTCTGTGTTTGGGATAATTGGATACTTTCCATCTCCAATTTGTAAGAGAAATTCAGCAAAATTTCTTTGTCTTCCGTTCTCATCGGCATCATTAATCTGACGAAGTCTCATGTTGATTATATCTTAGTTTTTTAGGAATCACACGTCGCGTGTTCTTTAGGATAGATAGTGGGTTGATTGCCTAACAGATTCAATCCTAAGGGATCCAGCAAATATAATTATAAGATCTCATGAAATTGACTTAGACTGAAAAATTAGAAAAATTACTCATTATATCTTGTTTTGTAATCTGGAGAATTATAATTATAAAATTTTATGAAATCAACTTAGAAAATTAGAGAAAAATTACCCATTAGATTTTGTTCCGTCATGTATGGTTCTTAAATATGGCTTTAGTCATATTTGTAGTTTTAGAATCGCACGTATCGCATGTCTAAGAATGCAATTCTGTCATAATGGAGATTATTAATATTTAGGTAAATAGATGGCATGCAAGAAAGCAATTTAATTGTTCTGTTAGAGTGAAATTAACCATAAGAAGTTTTTTAGGAATCGCATGTCATGTGTTGGTTTGGGATAGGTGGTGGGTTGGTTGCCCAACAGATTTAATCCTAAGGGATCCAGAGAATATATATAATTATAAGATCTTGTGAAATCGACTTAGACTGAAAAATAGAAAAAAATTATCCATTATATTTTGTTCTGTAAGATCCTGTTATGTGATCCAAGAATATATATATAATTATAAAATTGGAGAAAAATTACCCATTAGATTTTGTTCAGTCATGTATGGTTCTTGAATATGTTTTTAGTCATATATTTATAGTTTTAAGATTGCACATATCACATGTCTAAGAAAGCAATTATATCATAAAGGAGATTAGTGGTGTGGAAAAAAGCAATTTAATCATTCTGTTAGAGTGAAATTAACCATAAGAAGATTATTAATATTTGAGTAGATAGATAGTGGAAGTCTATTATAAAACATACATACTGCTAGGAGGAAAATAAGGCTACGGTTGCATGATGTAATACTCGTGGCACGATCCTTAATTTTTAGGATGTGTGTGAAATTTAGGTTGTGGCTATGCGACGCAATCGCTGCGAAACAAAATAATAAATTAGTTCATAATTTCTTCTTATCAGATAAATTAAATAATGAACTCACTTGTCTTTATTTTTCTTCCAACAGAGGAGTTGTGTGGATAAGGTAAAAAAAACATGTATAAATGGAGTGAAAAATAAAATGTAATATAAGTGCTTGTAATATAAAGAAATATTTACCTTCTTTTCTTTTCCACACCTTCTTGCAAGATAAAATTATTAAACTACATATATTTACAAACACGTTGTAATTATCATTACACAAAATTCATCATCATATATATATATATATATATATATATATATATAATGAATGATGATACAATTGATTATTTATATTGAGTATTCTAAACGTCAGCATTTACACACAAAAAGTTTTATTATATAGTATTGATTTAATAAATGAAATATAAACTATCATTATTTTTAATAATGTTTTAAATCTTATACAATTTTATATGATTTTATTTAATTCTAATTATTAGAATCATAGTTAGAAATAAATATGTATATATTAAAGTTTTTATTTGAAAGAGAGCTATTCTATCTTAGTTGTCTTAAAAATCTATTTTTGTTGCACACAACTTGTATTTAAGATTTATTTCCTTTTTTCACAAGTTATACTCTTGCAATATTTGTTTAATTTTTTTTGGTTGATCACAAAGTTTGGAATCAGGATGATTATCTGACCATACCATAAATTGCATAGTATAATTTGATCTCCAAAATGTTTTTTGCATTTTAGATTGTTTTTCACCAGGATTTTTATTCATTTTGCTTACAACAAGTGCATCAGGAAGAAAAGAATTATGATTAGAAAAGCTATTAAATATAAAAAACACTTTAGCATTGGGAAATTTTGACTTCAAAAATTGAAATGGCTTGATATTTGATTTGCTCAATAAGATGTTTTATTGTTTAATAACCTTCAACATTTTTTCCTGGCTTAAGAATAATATATGTATTTTAAGGTATATTAGAATATATAGATTTTTCTATAGATGTAAGAGAAAGATTTTTACAAGCTTCTGAAAAAAAACTTACAAACTATTATAGATTTTCCATTTATTTTGCATGTATTGGCATTTTACCACCTTGTACTCAAATATTTCTTTTATCATTATTTGAATAAAAAATGGATTCATTATGAACAATAAGAATAATTCATATGATTGAAGTAATGATTCAATTTTAATATCCATATTAGAATCAGTATATTTTGTCATTTTTGTCTTATATGCTTCCATTTGCTTTAAAAATATATTTTAATATTGAATTACATCTTCTTGTTCATGCCTATCAAAATATAAGCCTTTATAATATTATTGAAATGTAAGACCAAGAATATATGGTTATCATTCTAAAGTACTTAAACTAATAATTTTTTTGTTGGAAATTTCATGTCATGAAAAAAGAACAATATTCACACAGTAACGAATCATAGAAGATTCTCCAGAGTAGTGGGTAAATTGTTTCTCCTTGGTCTATACCATCTCCTGCCATTATTTCCTTGGTGAGTACTACATCTGTGATGACCCTAATTTTTCTTTGCTTGAAGAGATTCAGGATGAGTCTAGTGATTTTCTCTGGTACTTTGATTTTTTGGAGTGCTCGTTTAAGCATTTCAAGACTGACAGTATTATAAGCCTTGGCAGTGTCTTGTAATAGAATCCATAATTCTTTTTTCTCTTCACAAGCTTCACAAATATTGTTAAGCAATTGGATTGAATCAAAAGTATGAATCTTGGTAAAACACTTTCGTGTTGTTTCGAGTAGGATTATAGGTCTGATATTGTTGAGTTCTCCTTGCCATTCTTTTCCTTTGAAGATCAGATATAGGAGGCTGTTCTTCCAGGATGCTAGTGTATGTCCCTGTTTTAAAAATAGATTGAAAAAGCTGCATAGGATCTTTTTGGCCTGGGGTCTTAATCTCTTAAGCATTTTGTATTTGATTTTGGAGGAACCTGCTGATTTGTCTTTTGGTAGGTCTTGAAGGACTTCTTTCAACTCTTCTGGTTGGATTTCTTTTATAGCCTCTTGTACCAACTATCTTGTATTTCGTCTTTAGGTTCGTATTGCTTTTTTCATTGCTCATCCAGCATATTATAGTTGTTGTTGCACTTCTGAATGCTTTTTGATAGTATCACTCTGTTTGGCTCAGGATCTCTTCTTTGTCAATTGTAAAATATTCTTGTCCTTCTTCATCTACTGCCTTGATTCTATCAATTGTTATTCTTTCTCTAAAGTTGTTTGTTAATGTTTGTATGATTCTCCTCTGGTTGTCTTTAAGGTTCTGATATCTGGTTTTGATCACCTTTAGGATTTCTTGGTTGACTCTTTTTCTTTTCTCCACGAGACATGTCTTTCACACTGTTGATTTTAGATTGTGTATACATTCTTTGATCTGCAATGGGACTGTGCTCTGGTTCTCTATGCTCTGTAATAGTTCATCTACTGGAGGTTGAGAGTTAGTTGAGAGGATTTTGATAACCTTGAGTGAGAGGTCTTTGAGTTGTTGGGATAGTGCAATGGGTTCTATTGCTGTGGGATCTTTTTGAACCTTCTCTGTAATTTATGGAGCTGCCTGTGTAATTTTGATTAGACCTTTTTCTTTACTGTTTTGTGTTCCGTTTTGTCGCTTTTGAATTCCTCTGACAGTTTTCTTTTCACTGTAGAGGTTGTTGAATGCTGATGAGATTATCATTTTTTCGAACTCACTCCACCAGTGTTGAATTTCATCAGCTTGGTTCTCTGAATCTGGTGCCTCATTATGTAGGCTTGCTATTTCCTTGTAGAATTTATTGTTTCGTATCTTGTTTTCTATCTTGTCTTTAAACCTTATCCATTGTTCCTCAGATGTTTTTGCCAGGTTTATAATTTTTTGTTGATGTTTTTTGGTCATTTTTTGCTACTCTGTGGCTATGTGGATAAGAGATTCCTTAGTTACTTGAAGTTCTAGGAGGGTGTGGTCACTATTTGTGATCTCTTTAAAGTTTCTGTTTTTGAAGATGATCAAGCTATTGGTTATAGCTGGTATGCTCCAAATATAGTCTATTCTGCTTGAACTTTTGCTATTAGACCATGTATATGTATCTTTCTCACTGCTCCAGAGTTGTTGAAGGTTTATAAGATTTTGGTTGGTGAGATGACTAAATATTTGTGTTTCTGGTTTTTCAGCTGGGTTGAAGGTTTTACTAGAGCTTATGTTTCTTCGGTCATATCTGGGATTAAAAGTGGCATTGAAGTCACTCATTAAGATGATTTGGTACTGTTGCTGGATCTTACTCTGGACCAGTGTTTAAATCTTTTTTGAATGGATAGGCTTTTTCATTTGTTGCAAGGAAGATATATTTGTGCTATCCATGTTTTGCACTTTTTGCTCCAGAGGTTGACAGCTACCAGGTGATCATCAAGTCTATCTATACAAATGATGTTTCTTTCCAAGCCTTTACGAATTAGTAAGAGAACTCCTGCCTCCAATGGGTTTAGTGAACATGAGCTTGTAAAGCATTTGTATTTGTTTTTGCTATTTTGAAATGTGAACTGTTGGTTGGTTTGGGTGAGTTTGGTTTTGCTGAGTCCTAGTATGTCTATTTGACTTTCCCAGATTTCTTGGATTAAGATTTCTTGATCTGTTGCATGTGTGATTCCCCTGGTATTGTAAGTTCCTATTTGTATTAAGTAGTTGTTGGGATTGTGCAGGTGTTTTTTTGTTTTGGTGTTGTCAGGGTTTGAATGTGGGTTGTTTAGGAAAAGTTCTTTTTGCTTATAAAGGAATGTGGAAATGTCAGTGTCTAATTGTTGGTTGTGTGCTTTTGAGAAGTGTTCTAAGTTGAGGGTATCTAAAGTATGTATTACTGCGGGCCTTGTTATTGGAGGTTCTACTTGTCATGAGTTTTTTGGTGATTCACTCCCTCCAATATTGTTTTGTTGCAGGTCTGGTGTGACTTTTTAGGAGGAGTAGTGGAGTTTTCCACTGTTTTTGTTT